TTTCTATTGTCTGCCTTGAATCTAACCACCATCTCCTTTCTTTTGCCTTATAGATTCCCCTGGCTCAAAATATCTACGGACTCATTGTGCCCAACAGTGGTGTTGGTTTTGCCCTTGGTAAGATTTGGAAAGACTCTGGATGCTGCACTAAGTTGTTCAAAGAAAACATACGCAGCAAATATTAGTCCTCAAGCAGGTTGAAACCAACCAACAAAATCCCTTGACTCTGCATTAGTGATAAGGATGTTTATATACCCTCCAACTCTCCCAGTTTGGCAGGGATGATTCCATTTAATCCTCTGCCATCCTACTGTTTCAGATGCTTTTAAAATGTCCTGCTTTTCTCTCCTTTTCCCACTTTTCTCCTTCCTCCATGGTTTACTTTAGTTGCTGCAAACTGAACTCAAAGCGCTAGAGTAGTTTGTAGTCAATTAACTCAGCAAGAAGGTGTAGTCGTAGGCTTTCATGGCCGGCATCCATAGTTTTTTGTGGGTTTTTTTGGGCTGTGTGGCCATGTTCTAGAATAATTTCTTTCTGATGTTTTGCCAGCATCTGTGGCTGGTATCTTCAGAGAAAAAGAAGATGCCAGCCACAGATGCTGGTGAAACGTCAGAAAGAAACTCTTCTAGAACATGGCCACACAGCCCAAAAAACCCACAAAAAACTCAGCAAGAAGGAGTGGAGTGGAGGAGGCAGAAGCCTACTCTTTCCATAGATTCATCTGGTGTTTATTTTCCCAGGCTTTCCTAAACTCAGTTCTTAAAATATTAGTTTTCTTCTTCTTTAATAACTTTTGCCCTCTTGTTGCCTGGCCAAACCCTTTTACAACATTCTGGGGTTGCTCAGCTATACGTTTCTGGGTTTTCATTTGTGAAATGTTGGAGGGTATGTACACAATAGAATTTGAACAAGTTTGCATGCACAGAACCATTAGAAACAAAGGTGTCACTATCTCAGCTACCCACGTGGACAATTTTCAATTTTAGAGTATTTCAGATTTTGGAATTCTGGGCAAGGGATACTCAACCTGAATACACATACAGTTGGCCTTCCATACCCACAGATTTTGCATCCATGGATTCAACCATTGACAAGTTGAAAATGTTTCCCCCGCCCCGCAAAATTCCAAAAAGCAAACCTTGATTTTGCCACTGTACATAAGGGATACCATTCTACCATGCTACTGTATATAATGCAACTTGACTATCCAATGGATTTTGGTATCCATGGGGGTGGGGTCCTAGAATCAAACCCCAGCAGATACCAAGGGCTCACTGTGTATGTGTGTGTGTGTATTTCGAATTTGGGGAAGGAGAATGAAATATTCTGTCTTATAATATTTCTTGGTTTCATTCTGGGGTAGGTATGGTGGATTCCTCTATGATGCCTATCATGGGATACTTGGTGGATCTTCGCCACACATCTGTCTACGGCAGTGTCTATGCCATTGCTGACGTAGCCTTTTGCATGGGCTTTGCTATTGGTATGGTTTGACACTCAGTGTTAATGTTGCTTTGTTTGTTATTGTGTCTGTATGCCATTGCTTCTCAATTTTAAAAATCTTTCTTTAAAAACAAAATGCAATATATGCAATACTAAATCACATGGCTTGGATCCAGATTGAGTCATGCTCAGAGCACTGAAGTCAACAAGATAAATTAGTCATTACTGACTTGATTTCAGTGGGTTTTCTCTCAGCATGGCAGTGTCTAGAGTCAAACATCTACCCCATGTATCTATATACATCCGCTTCAATGATCCCAGTTTGGTAGGCCCAATTGTGGTTAATCCTCTGTCACCCCACTTTTCCAGATGCTTTTAAAATGCTTCAGATTTACTCTCCCCCTCTCACTTTCCCCTTTTGTCTTCAGCTTCCTTCAGTTGCTGCAAGCTGAGTTCAAGGTACAAAAGTATTTATCCTTAAAGGGAGAGAGGAAAGGGTGAATTCTGTCCTTCCCAGTAGACTCAAGCAAAAACAAACTGTTGCAGCCTGCCCTAGCTTGTGTGTTCTCCCTCATTAAACATTTTTGCCATCTTGATACCACTCTGAGGTTGCTTGGCCATACATGTCCCATTTTTATTTGTGAAATGTTGGAGACTGTGCTGTAGATATGCTTGTCTATATATTTCTCAGGTGCAGGAGCTGGCAACTCCAGCTCTTCTGATGTGGCTGATATGAACCCCCCAAAAGCTAAATACTGCTTAGCTTTTCATGGGCCATCGAATATAGGCAACATAATTAACTGTATAGCTGTGATGTACTACCTAATTAAGTTAATGTAGGATGTTTCAGTTATTTAGGGTATATTTTAATATCATTCTTTGCTTGTAGGTCCTTCCACGGGGGGTGCACTTGTACGAGCCGTTGGCTTTCCCTGGTTGATGGTCATCATTGGAGGGATCAACTTGGCATATGCCCCTCTCTGTTGGTGTCTGCGGAGTCCCCCAGCCAAAGAGGAGAAAATTGTAAGTTTTTCCCTGTGGATGTAGCTTTATGGCACCATGATGCTATAGCGATGCATTGGTACTGTGAGCCACACATGTCTTGGTTTTCATCTGTAAAATGTTGGAGGGTCTGCATCAGATCTTCGCATAGCCATGCTGGCAACTTCTGAATAGCCTTCTAAGTTACTTGGGCACCCACAAGACTGGGCTCTTCAGTGCCACTAGGACACCAGCGAAGTAAGCCTTGGTTGTTCTACCCCAACTGGACATGAGAGACATCTAGTGCTCTTGCCCACTGGTTCTTTTGATATGACTTTACACCGCAAAACAGGTCTTTTGAAAATGGATTTTGAGTTGTTCTTGCTATGCATGGTCATGATGATGAGGATGATACTCATGTTTTTGTTTTGCTTTCTCCCATCCTTTCTCCTTCCTCCAATCCCCTCCTGCTCTTCCAGGCAATTCTAAGCCAGGAGTGTCCAATGCAGACCAAAAGCTATCTCTCTCAGAAGGCTCTTCAGGAGTTTCCACTCACAGATAGCAGTGATGAAGAAACTGAGACCAAGGAATAGAGATTGCAGAGTGGCCAAGAGGGAGAAACACTATCAGTGGTTGCATTTTGAATACTGCAGAGTTTCGAGAGTTCCTACGGAGTCTCCTTTGGGAAGCATCAAAACAGGGCTGGGAAAAATTTGGGGTCTCAGGTGTTTTGGACTACAGCTCCCAGCATCTAATATAATTGGCCATTCAGGGTGAGGCTGATGGGAACTGTAAACCAAAGAGTCCGAAGGCCACAAACTTAGCCAGACCTGTTCTAAAACAAATGAGAAGCAATGTCTGTCGGAATGCATTGGGGGAGGATGGTGTCTCAAGCAGGGCATGAACACTCTTGCTCATGCTTGACCACAATCTGGATGGCTGGACTACAATGCCTATTGTCCTCAGCTAGTGAAGAGTTGCTGCTGAGAAGGAGGAGCACTGTAATACAGCTGCTCTGGATGGCCTGGGTTAGGAAATGTATCTCATTTCAACAATTAATAAATGCACCCCTTTAGCCAAAGAAGCAGCTGGCAAACACTTCACTTTGAAATTCTTTGTTGTTCATGTCTTCCCTCTTACCTGCACACTCCCTGCCTTTCTAATTGTGAAAAATCGTGAGCGGTGGAAACTTCTCCACTCTGGTGGATAGGGCATCCTTTGAACCTTCAAGGGCTGTATTACAGTCAGCTTCAGACCAGATTTTTCCCTTCCTTGCAGGTAGCTGAAGCCTCTGTGTTATTGTACTGATGCCTCTCTATTGTCTCACTTCTAGATTTAGGGGGGTTGCAGACTGCCAGAAATAGTGCAAATTGAGTCCACTTTAAGGGTTAGGGTTAGGGAATCATGGGAACTGTATTTTATTGTGGCACTAGAGCTCTCTGACAGAGAAGGTTCAATGTTTCAGAACAAAAACAATTCCCATGATTCCCTAGCACTAACCCTAACCCTAAAAGTGAACTCAATTTGCACTATTTCTGGCAGTCTGCAACCCCCCTTAGTTAATCTGTTTCTTCTGCTGCTTTATCCACAAACTCTGTAAGATTGGTGGAAATCACTTTCTTTCCAACAGGTCATCTCTTTTTTTGTCTTTTAAAGTTAGCCAGTATTGCTGGTACATATTTGTACACTGTGGAATAGGCAAAATACTTACAGTTCAAGATTGAAAGGCATTAGTTTGGGTGTTCCTAGGAAGCTTTCTTCTCACAGTTCACAGCTTTATCGTTCCCATCATGGCAATGTTCACTGTAGTTTCATGGAACCAGATCACTACCCTTTCTCCTAATAAAGATAACTGAACAATCTGTGGTCTGGTCCCAGCTGACAAGAGGACCACCTCCCTGGACCAGACCTTTGGCCAGTACATCTTCCAATGCTACGTGTGATTTATTAGGTTTTCATATTCCTCTCAGTACAAGTTGCTTGGAAAGAGAGTCTTTCTGTGTTTGTGACAAAAGTGGGACATGAAACAAAATGCTGCACCATGCTTTCGTGCTAAAGATTAATTGTGCAGAAAAACTCAAGAATTCCCCTGAAGTTACCAGCAACCTCCATTTTGTGCATAAATGATGCTAGTTTGGCAACACAACCAATACCACTCATGCCTAAATATCAGAACCAGAGGGACCTGGGGCAAAATGGAGCCTCTAGAGTCAGAGGCAGTGTTTCTGTATCATATACTGGGCATTGGCAACAATAAGAGGAGAGGATTGTTAGCTTCCTATCCTACTTGTGTGCTTCCTGGGGGCAACTGATTATTTCCCTTTCACAATATACAGCTATAGGTCTATGATTCCACTTTGACTGCCATTGCAATGCTATGGAATTCTGGGATTTGCAGTTTAGAAAAGGGCATTTAGAATTCCTAGCCACAGAGGTCTAATGCCTTGTTGTTGTGGTGGTGGTGGTGGTGTGTCATTTCCGACTTATGGTGACCCAATCATGGGGTTTTCTTCAAAGGTTGCTATCCTCTGAGGCTGAGAGAGTGTGACTTTCTCAAGGTCACCCAGTGAGTTTCATGGCTCAGCAGGGATTCAAACCCTGGTGTCCAGAGTCATAGTCCAACATTCAAACCACTTATCTAACTATAAAGCCTGGCATTCCATAGGATGTAGCCACAGCAATTAAAGTAGAATCATAGATCATCTTCACACTACACAATTATGGCACTTTGATGCCACTTTTAACTGCCATAGTTACATCCTGTGGAATCCTGGGATTTGTAGTCTAATGAAGTGCTAGAGATCTCTGGCAAAGTAGTCTATAAACAGTTCCCAGGATTCCACAGAATGGAGCCATGGCAGTTCAAGTGATATCAAAATGCTATGATGGTATATAGAGTGAAAGAGTCCCAGCTGTCAGACTCGATGAGCCTTTGGTCTGATCCAGAAGGGCTTGTGCTGAGAAATCCTGCATCACTTTGTGAGCCCTTGGAATAGTCAGTTTTAAAGTCCAACTTCTCAATAGCTGGGCTGCCTGGGGATTCTGGGACCTATAGTTTAAAAAGTAGCGTTTCCAAAATTGGGATTTGGTTCCCTCTCTATACACTCCTATACTCCACTTATTTTCCTTGCAAGCTTATTTTTGGAGTCTTCCTATCTCATCTGCACTGGGAGGAAACAATTGAAAATCCATCAGTGTGTGTCAGTGCCCTCTTTTGTCTCTGGCACTGAAATGGCTGCCATTTCCATTTGGCACAGTCAACGTATGCGACTGGGAAGGTCATCAGGAGATCCTGACTCATGCTGCCAGCTTTCCAAAGGGAGGCAGAGATGAACGATCTGAGAGAAGACACACACGCAGATGGTCCATGAATCAACAATCGCTTGCTTTCTCATCAATGAAAGGATAGGTTTAATAAGAAGGTTCCTGCAGAGAACATGCTCAAGGTGCCTTTGAACTGCTCTATATTTATGTATTATATATTGGGTTTATAAACTTCTTTTCTCCCAAAGAATGGCATTCAAGGTGGCTCACATTAATAATAATAATAATAATAATAATAATAATAATAATAATAATAATAATAATAAATTTTAAATGTATCCCGTCCCTCTGACAAACAATCGGGGCGGCTAATATTCAGCGATAAAACCAGATGAAATGAATACTAGTCAAAAGAGTGTAATGATAACTGTCTTTTTATCATTCTTATTATATAACATAATACGAATATATATTACACCATATATTATACAAATGAGAATACTGTCTATCTATCTATCTATCTATCTATCTATCTATCTATCTATCTATCTATCTTTAGTACCATGATATGTAGTTTTGCAAAGGGCTCCCCACACATAGGTCCACAGGAATGACATCCCATTGCTTGCACTTGTTGAAAAAGAAGATATCTGTGTGTATCTGGACAAGTTTCTTGAAGAGGTTGATGGATTTTCCACTTCATTCAGCTAAATTTGGTGCTTTCCATAGTGGTAGAATTTTAAGATATAGCAGTGTTAGTCTCTAGAATTAATATGAATAGAGATTTTGTAGCACCTTTGAGACTAACTGGATAAAAAAGAAGTTTGTAGCATTAGCTTTCTCAGCTAGTGTTATCCTGATTGCTCTCTAGTGGACGAATGGATTAATGCAAGGTTGTGGTTATAGAAGTCCAAGAATTTCATGGATAATTATGGTTTGTGTGTGTTGTGTGCTTTCATGTTGTTTCCGGCTTATGCTACCCTAAGGCAACCCTATCATGGGGTTTCCTTGGAAAGTTTCTTCATAGGGCATTTGCCATTGGCATCCTCTGAGGCTGAGAGAGTATGACTGGCCCAGTGGGTTTCCATGGCCGAGCCAAGATTTGAATCTTGGACTCCAGAGTCGTATGTAGTCCAGTGCTCAAACAACTACACTGAAATGATAAAAATCATAAAAATCTAGTTTATTTTATATGCGAGTGGGGACCGATTGAAGCTTTGTGGCCCTTAACACTTAAAATCATTTTGGAGATTGTGAACCATTTAATCAACTGAACAATGTTCACTATAGTATTCATAAATATTAATACTGGATCTTAATTTTTTAAAAAAGCAGCTAATTGTAGGGGACTCTGAAGTCAACGGCATCTAGAAGACAAAAGATGTCTTCTGCTGATTTGTATCTTTTTTCTTTTAATTGACCTGTTTTTAATTCTAGACATTGTTAAATTATATTTAAATAACAGCTTTTGCATTTTTCACCCTCTTTTATTTTGTATTTGTTTTCACTTTTTATTGGGGAAGGGGCAAAACATAAATGAATTAAGAACTATGAAATTGTGAAGTTGAAGGCTTTCACAACCAGCATCCATAGTTTTTTTGGGGGGGGTTCGGGCTGTGAGACCGTGTTCTAGAAGAATGTATTTCTGACATTTCACCTGCATCTGTGACTGGCATCTTCAGAGAATGGTGGTATGGAGGTGTGCGGGGTATATATATACTCTCTCTCTCTCTCTCTCTCTCTCTCTCTCTATATATATATATATATATGAAAGGGCCTACTGTACAATAAAGGTAAAGGCATCCCCTTTGACAAGATTATCAAGTTGTGTCTGATCGTAGGGAGTGATGTTCATCTCTGTTACTAACCTAAAGAGCCAGCATTGTCAGATGACTCCATGGTCAGGTGTCCAACATGACTGCACAGAACTTTCTGTGAATATGGCAATGTGGCACTGCCAAAATCTCTCAAAACCTTTCACGCCTTCTTAATGTGTGCCACCGCTGTCACCAAACTATGTGAAGATGATGTCCACTATTCCACTCTTCACTGTGAGACTCGAACTCAGGGCTCTCTGGGTTTCAATCCTTCTCCCCCCAGCTTGGCACCAGCTATTCTTTGACAGCCACACGCCCACTATCTAGTCAGTGTGTCTCAAACCTAAAAGACTTTTCTCAATGTTGGTAGCATTTTTAATGTACTTCTGAAATAACTCCAGGCAGCTGCTTGTTGAAACAAAGTAAGGAATTTATTTATAAGTCAGGCTGAATACAGTATCTCTTTTAGTGGATGGTGTTCACAATGGATACGGTGTATAAATATTTTATTAGTTAGTATCTTAAGTTTGTCTTTGTAATTGTTTCTTTATAGCTTTAAGTATGTTCCCTTACAGCTTTGCAGACTGCTAGAAATAGTGCAAATTGAGTCCACTTTAAGGGTTAGGGTTAGGGTTAGGGAATCATGGGAAGTGTATTTTATTGTGGCACCAGAGCTCTCTGACAGAAAAGGCTCAATGTCTCAGAAAAAACAACAACAATTCCCATGATTCCCTAGCACTAACCCTAACCCTTAAAGTGGACTCAATTTGCACTATTTCTGGCAGTCTGCAAAGGTCCATAAGTTCTCACAAAACCTTTATTAAACTTTTTGCATCTTATAACCCTTCTGGTGGCTTAGTGGTTAAGATGCCAACTCTGATGATGCGGAAGATCAAAAGGTTGGCAGTTCGAGGGCCAAGTGCTGCATGATGGGGTTAGCTCCTGTCACTAGTCCCAGCTTCTGCCAACCTAACAGTTCAAAAGCATGCAAATGCAAGTAGGTAAATAGGTACCACTTCAGTGGGAAGGTAACAGCATTCAGTGCAGTTATGCTGGCTGCATAACCACCGGAGCAGTCCTTGAACAATACTGGCTCTTTGGCTTAGAAACGGAGATGAGCAATGTCCCCTACAGCTGCTTACAACTAGATATTCATGTTGAGGGACTACCTTTACCTTTTAAATCTGTAAGTCCACTAGTCACCAAACAATATGAAGATTATCACACTACACTCTTAAAGCACTGCTATTGCATTTTAACTGCTGTGGTTGCCTCCTGTTGCATTCTGGAGTTTTTTAGTTCAGTGAGGCCTAAGAATTCCCTGCCTGAATATTTTACAGTATAGACTCAACTATATAAGTTGAATTCACATATAAGTTGAGAGCAGGCTTTTGGAACCACCCGTGGATAAGTGTAAAAGGGACCAGTAACAAAGGATCTAAGGATGAAGCAAAGGAAAACAATGCCAAAAAACTTACACGATCCCAGTAGGCATTGTGCTCATACTAAAGGCTGTATGGATGAGTGAATAGTGTGGGGTCAGTGCTTCCCGGTCAGATTACACTCTTGGCTTTCACTTGGAGATAATTCCTTTTTAAAATAAAGGTTATAGTACAATACTTACATTGACTCATGGATAGGTCAACTCAGTTTTTTGGATCAATTTTTTTGACTAAAATTTCTAGACATACATGAGTATATACAATAAATGCCTCTTCCTAAACTGCAAATCCCAGAATGCAACAGGAGGCAGCCAGATCAGTTAAAGTGGAATAGCAATGCTTTAAGAGAGTAGTGCGATAATCTCCTAAGTCTCCCTCAGAACACTACAACAATTTAATCAAGGACAGTCTTCGTCCCTTTCTTGGGACCCTAAAACCCTTTCTAACTGCCCCTCACAGCAGCCTCAATGGTTCTTCACTCCCCAGGGCACACTAAACATCAACAATCCTTTCAAACCTGCTCCTCCCTCTTATATACTCACTCCTGGGAGCAGCCCTCACCTTTTCCTGGCTTCGCTCCCATTGGCTATAGTCCAGGTTCTCATCCACCTGTTGTCTCCATACCTTCCCACCGAAGTGGTACCTGTTTCTCTACTTGCTCTTTTTCATTGCTTTTGAACTAGTAGGTTTTTTAGAAGCTGGGACTAGTGATGGGCACTTATTCTGGGATCATTCACACTAGGAAATAACCCAGTGTGGAATTCGGGTTGTTTCCATGATGTTTCCATGTTTCCCAACTGCACTCTGTGCAGTTTTTTTGAATGTGTATGTGTCAAAAAACCCACTTGACCTGGTGCATCTTGCATCGGCTCACCTACAGCTTCTCTTTTGCGTTGCCACAATGATCCAGATCTTTGGCAGTGAGAACCCACTACCAAAGAGATCTGGATCATGTGGGAAATTGTTTTGAAAATGGAAGTGCTTCCATTTTCAAAACAATCTGGTGCCTCTTCCTCCTTCCTCCCCACCCCTGCCTGTCCTCCCTCCTCTTTCTCTCCCGCCGCATGTCCTCCTTGTCCTCCTCCTTCCCCCGGCCATGATCAAATCTCTCCAAGGTATTTTATCCCTA